AGGCCGTGGCTGCCGCCGGACCCGGCGGACCGCTACGCGACCGCATCGTCACCCCACCAGCTGATGGGCGTAGAACCATCCCTTCCGCCCCGCATTGCCGGAGGCCGGGGGCGGAATGCGGCAGCGGCCGCGCTGGGCCGCGCAAACATCCGCAGGGGAGGACGCGGCGCGGCGAAACCACGGAGCGGCGCAGCAGCGCGACCAGCGGAGAGTCCATGAGACCCAGGTGCCTCCGCCGGCGCGGGTGGACCCAGCCGGGCCACCTGGCACCGCCCCTGCGAGCTCATCTTCTTCATTACCTGTTACGATCACCTGGCCGGCCGACTCCCACCGTTCGGCGCCGCCTGTCACTTGGAGGGGAACAACAACAACCCCTCTGGGCAGCAATCAGGGCAGGCCGGCGGCCGGACGGACCGTTACTAGGTCGAGTCGGCGGCACCATCTACTTCCTCGTTCTGCTCTGCACTGTTCTGCTCTGCACTGTTCTGCTCTGTCCTGTTCTGCCCTGCCATGTTCTGTGCGCTCTGTCCTGCGGGACTAGCCTTGCGTGCCGCGCCCGAGGCAAATGCCAACCGCCGGAGGCGCGGTATATAAGCTGAGTCCCGCAGTGATCTCGCCTCTCTCTTCGCTCTCCACTCGGGAGCTACGTTGGAGTTTTGGAGTGCGACGTGTGCGTCCAACACACCCAACCAATCATGTAAGTAGATGGGTGCGGCCCTTATTAGGGCAGTGTATATATAGCCATGGTCAGTGTAATCATGTGTGCTTATGTAAATAATTACTTTGAAATCTTGCACAGTCTGTTGTGGGACAAATGGTGGGGGAGAGAATGAACGGCGAACTGAACGGAACGGCACGGAACTCGGCAAACGTAACATAGAGCGGCTCGGAAGCTCAAACAAACGCTACCTTTTAAACGTCACGGTTAACTTCGGCACGCCACGCTACCAATAGTAATCCCAACCGTAGCAATGATAGAAATAAGGAACGTAACAACTTATAGAGAGAAAAAATAGTTTCACAACTGCTAGCGGACGAGCTGGTAGGCTCTGAGCTATGGGCCCGCGGGCCTGAGTGGCTTCGCTCCCCTCTAGAGTCAGCCGGATGCGGACTCTTCGTGACCAGCGAGGAGCTAGCCGAGACGGAGGAGTCCGCGGCAGCATGCGAGTCTCCAGACGGACCAGATGTTCTGCGGGAAAGTTTGGGCGAGTCGGGATCCGAACAGGATGCTATGATGCTGCGCACTGACTCGATCGCCTCAGAGAGTGTGCTCCCATTGAGTCACTGGAGCTCTTTTGTGTTGGCTGTCCGTGTTACAGCATGGGTGAAGCGTTTCATTCACAACGCGAGAAACCCTGACAGTCGAATCACGGCTGCCGACTTGTCTTACGGAGAGATCCGTGAGGCCAAAATGACTCTCATCGGCCAGACTCAGCGATCACTGTACCATGCGGAGTACACTTCGCTGGCTCGGGGCCAGGCTGTGGCGAAATCATCATCCATCTACAAACTGGGCCCCTTTTTGTCTGATGATGGTTTGATTCGCATGAAGGGTCGTCTCCAAATGGCAGAAATGTCAACAGATGAAAAGCACCCCGTCATCCTCCCAAAATGTCATCTCTCTATGCTGATAGTCCGCTTTCAGCATACACTGATGTCTCACGCAGGCGTCAACACCATGCTGACTGCTTTGCGAAGCTCATATTGGATTGTTGGCGCCCGCCGCATAGCAAAGACGGTGAAACGAGAGTGCGTTTCATGTCAGAGACAGGACGCACAGCCCTGCTGTGAACCGGCTGGTCCTCTCCCACGTCTCAGAGTGACTGAGTCTAGCCCGTTCTCCGTGACTGGAATAGACTTCGCGGGACCTCTGTTTTCAGTCGATCGGCCGCGGCACAAGCTATACGTTTGTCTTTTCACGTGTGCTACAACGCGAGCGGTCCACTTGGAGCTAACAGAGTCCATGTCGCTGTCGTGCCTTTTACTGGCCTTGCGGAGTTTTGTGGCCAGACGAGGCTGGCCAGTAGTGATCTACTCGGACAACGCAAAGACCTTCAAGGCGTGCTCGACTCATCTACAGTCGAACATCGGACACGCGGCTCCCGAGTGGAGGTTTTCAGTGCCCTACGCGCCGTGGCATGGTGGCTGGTGGGAGAGACTGATTCGATCAGTCAAAGTCGGACTGAGGAAGTCAGTAGGGCAGCGGCATCTGGCACAACGTGAGCTAGAAACGATCCTACATGAAGTTGAGGCGTGCGTCAATTCCAGACCTCTGACATTTGTCAGTGATGATAGTGGATGCCCTGGTCCACTCACTCCCAATCACTTTCTCATTGGTCGTGCCTCAGTCTTGAGTCTGGAGAGGTCAGAAGGTATCGAGGGTGCGTCAGGGGAGGCATTAGGCCGACTGAACTCAGTTCGTAGCGAGCGATTAGAGCGGTTCTGGCGTGTGTGGCGTGACGAGTATATACGAAACCTGCCAGCTATCGTTCCCAAGTTTGGAACCAGAGGCAATGTAAAGCTCGGCAGTGTAGTGATCATCAGGCGGGACAATGCTCCGCGTTTGACATGGCCTATGGCAACGGTTGAAAAACTGTATCATGGACCGGATGGTGTGGTTCGGTCCGTGCAGGTCCGCACCAGTGATGGGCGCCGCACATGCTGTGCGGTTCAGCGACTACACAACCTGGAGCTGGTGTAGGAGAGCAGAGCGATAGCAGCACCGGCAGCGCTCGGTAGCCCGACTGTTACAACCGAGTGCTAGAGCGGAGGTGGAAAGACAGTGTATGTTGATTGTGACATGTGCTCTGTAAACTGTATCAGTTTTGCATCTAGGGACTGACATGTGTTGCAGTAGGTAGGTATGTGATTGGTCCACTCAAACCTTCTGCAACGGGGGGAGTATGTTGTGTATTGAAAGTCGTCTGCCCAAAAGTGCACGAACCGCGCGCGACAAATAATGTGAAATTGAAGATCAGCGAGTTTGTGAATTGAAATTCGAATTTGTAATCTGAGCTATTTCGTATTGTTTGTATCTTGATTGGTGCTTCGGCAATATAAACGAATTTGTTAAAGTTGTCTAAGTCCTCGATTTATAACAATATATATTGAAAAATTGATAGCAAATATTTCGATACTCGTAGCGGTACCTTTTTCAATGCGAGTGATGCACAGTGCGAGCTTTGTTAAGCACAACAAAATAACACAATTCCCATGCAATCGGTGGAGCTGGGTCCTCCAGTGCAGATAAAATAACCTATACGATACCGCCTTCCTAAGAACTTATACAATATCACTGTCTATCACGGAATTTTAATTAAATATTTAGACAATCAGCGCTAATTTAATAAAAAGAGCGTCACTTCAGTTACAGGTAAGTCACACTTACACAAGGTGACCCCCCCCCCCCCCTCGCGTGTTCGTTCAGCGTGCCAACCACTATTTTTTTAGCACAATGTCCCATATTGGGCTCAGCTGGACGCCACCGCTGTCGAGATTCATTGACGGGCGCAGCTGTCGGATCTCGATGGCCTCCCTGATTTTACGTTTTTTCCAGTGGCGTTCGATGGCTAGGGTTCTCGCCTCGAACGGGTTCAAGTCACCGCCACAGGTACAAAAGTGTCTGGCCGTCGCTGACGTATCGCAGCGTGCGTGCTTGATATCCGGAGCCGTTTATCAAGAGGGCTATGAGACGCCGTGACGCCAGCCAGACCGTACAGGGGGAAGCCGCCGCCAGAGACCAAGAAGCCTATGCGGCAGTGCCCTACGTCCCAGGTCTCAGCGAAAGGATAGCCAAGGTTCTCAGGCCACACAGAATCAAGGTAGCTCACAAATCCAAGCGATTGAGGGGTCACCTGGTTAACGTCAAAGATCCCGTGGAGCAGAGCAAGAAGAAAGGGGCCGTATATGAGATAAAGTGCTCGTGCGGCTCCAGCTATATCGGAGAGTCAGGGCGACCAAAACAGGACAGATTGAAGGAGCACACCGCCGATATCAAGCACGCACGCTGCGATACGTCAGCGACGGCCAGACACTTTTGTACCTGTGGCGGTGACTTGAACCCGTTCGAGGCGAGAACCCTAGCCATCGAACGCCACTGGAAAAAACGTAAAATCAGGGAGGCCATCGAGATCCGACAGCTGCGCCCGTCAATGAATCTCGACAGCGGTGGCGTCCAGCTGAGCCCAATATGGGACATTGTGCTAAAAAAATAGTGGTTGGCACGCTGAACGAACACGCGAGGGGGGGGGTCACCTTGTGTAAGTGTGACTTACCTGTAACTGAAGTGACGCTCTTTTTATTAAATTAGCGCTGATTGTCTAAATATTTAATTAAAATTCCGTGATAGACAGTGATATTGTATAAGTTCTTAGGAAGGCGGTATCGTATAGGTTATTTTATCTGCACTGGAGGACCCAGCTCCACCGATTGCATGGGAATTGTGTTATTTTGTTGTGCTTAACAAAGCTCGCACTGTGCATCACTCGCATTGAAAAAGGTACCGCTACGAGTATCGAAATATTTGCTATCAATTTTTCAATATATATCACTCAAGAAACTCCGAAAATATTATTTCATATTCAGACGTAAATACTAAATATTGGTATACCTACACTATACAACCGGATCGTTGGTTCCTTTCCTTTCCACTTTCCAGACCATGATTATTTTGGGCACAGATTCTGATACCGGTCTTAAAACCGGTGCCGATCATAAGATGCTGAGCCAGGGTATTATAGACGACTTCGGATATCCTCCTCAATAGCTAAGCGCCATCCGACGGCCCTCCCGTGTGTCCGACGAATATGTTCAAACCCTATCCAGCATTATCGTACCGCTGACATGTACAATGATGCATAGTCTCAGAGTCTGTGTTATCCCCAGAGAATGCTCGCCGCGTCTCAGCTCGTTCCCAGTGATGCCCCACCCCACCAAACCGCACCAGCCAGCGACTCCCCGACCGTCCTCTCCGCATCCGTCATCCACAGTTTACACAGTCGTTTGCGTCGGCCAACTCAGTGTATTTGCTCGGTGAAAGCTTAGTCCCTCATCTCACGCTTTTGCCTGGCCAGCTTCTTCTTGGACACCTTCTTCTTGGTGGGCTCGTCGTCGGTGACGCGCGAGACCACGTCCTGCTTCTCAGTCAGGATGATCTGCCGGACGGAGAACAGGCGTTAATGATCAGTCATGGAAGGGAACGGCAGCGCGGGTACGGGGGGAGGGTATGGGTTTTAAGACGCTTCGGCGACAAAGGCCATTTGGCAGTACGGGGATAGCAGGTTGACATTTCCGGTTCATCACAGTTAGACGCCTGAAGACATGGATTCGTGATGGAGGCTAACCAAGGCAGGTATGAGAATATCCCCAAGTTAACGGCATGGCTACATTGTAACTATGAAAAATGTGGGAAATTTCAACTCAAGATCTAAACGCAACACCTATATGCGGAATCAAACAGACTTAGTGATAGCACACAAGCGGCCGCAGAAGTGTACCATCCCTCCCATACTGTCTGCGCGGCGGCACGTTGCCGCTCTCGGCTCACCTCCACGTGGCACGGGCTGGCCATGTAGGGGTTGATGCGGCCGTGGGCGCGGTAGGTGCGCCGGCGCATCTTGGCCGCCCGGTTCACCTGGATGTGGTCTACCACCAGGTGGTCCACGTCCAGACCCTTGAAGTCGGCGTTGGCCTCGGCGTTACGCAGCAGCTGTAGCAGGTGCTCGCACGACTTCTTGGGCCAGCGGCCCTGCGTGGTGCCGAACGCCTTGGCCTGGACGGACGGAAAAGAGCCAGGTCAGGTCGAGGGGAAGCAAAACACTCCACGGAAGGGTTACATAATCATGCAGCTATCCAAATCGGCAGTAGAACAACCCGAGGACTCTTGCACCAAAATTCTTAGCTAGGTAAAATCGGCAAGCTACTTTCGCTGTTAGCGAATAAATGGTATTTTTTGCACCACTTCATAATGTATACCTACAGGGCTTAGTAGAATATACAGAGAATTAATCAAGGGGGGTTCTGGCCTCTGGGGTGAGTGTACAATGCAACAGAATCTAGGAATTGGTGCAATAGGTTTTTGGCGCAAGCGGCCTCAGGGCTGCGGATTCAAAGTCGGTCAGGCAATCCTGCCCCACGTTGGAGTCGGACTAGTCGTAGTCAACACTACATGGGCCAGTCATGCCAAATACCCATTTCCTTGACAATACTACGCTCATTGACCTTCCCAAATCAGATTTTGTCGAAGCAAGGCCATCCTTCTATTTTGGACGAGCCTTTGCAGCGAAAAAAAAAAATGCAGAAGACCGCGGCTGCACCAACCGAACATGCTTTTGGTTTGGCTGTTGTCCATGATATTAATCAGGGTTTTAGAGTCGGAGTCGGAGTCAGTCGCCCGGAGTCGTGGCAAGTAGCCAGGAGTCGGAGTCGGAGTCGGTCCAGCCGCCTCGACTCCGACTCCGGAAAGTTAACTGCAGTCAATCCGTGCTATCACTTTTCAGTTGTTTTTAACCAGTGGCCCCACGGCAAAATTCGCTTCCAGTGATCACAAATAAGGTATTATTTTACACATCTTGTTTTTGTCCTGAAAGCTAACATTGCCTCTTACAAATTTCAAGTTATGTCATAATTTAGTAGGCAAGCATTTTGTATTCGCGTTATAACTTCTACAATCCAGTGTCAAAGACTTAATGACAACTGTATATTTACCTTCTTCTTTTATCGCTCCGAAAAGTGCCTAACACAAACACAGACCGACATGATGGCGATGCCCGTGGTCATGATACGGCCACACTCGTGCTTCTCGGCGGGTTTTCAAGCTGGCCGCCGGCCGCTGGTCTCTAAGGATTCAGCTGCGTCCACGTGGGAGAAATGGTGACCGCATGAACGAAACCGGAGCGATCTCCCGGTGCGCGAACAGGGTGTCCGGAAAGTTCTGGCGCCTCTTTTGGACGTCGTTTAACGCGCGCTGTGATTATTGGACTTTCCACCAATCACCACAGGTACGACCCTTCGTTCACCGCTCAGCTAGGGGTCGCGTAACTATGACCTTGAAACCGTTTTCAGTGCTAGGTATATGGGCGAAGATGCGCCTTGTCGCTGAGAGCCCGCGCGCGGGGGCCCGGTGCGGCTTGAACGAGGCGCGAGTTGCAGCGCGATGCGGCGTTTCCCGGCGAACGGTTGAGCAGGCAAAGGTGCATTCCGGATCGGAAATTTCTTAGAAAATAGTTATTCTCACTTAGTTACAACCACGGTATGCCAAAGCTGCTGAGACTGAAGCAGCATTTCAGCGGCAATCGAAGAAAATCTGGGGTCTGATGGACACAAATGTTCCATCATCTTCATCAAGGTCAAATAAATGACTGACAGGCTGGTCCACGAGGGGTTCCTGGACACGACAATTAAGGCAACTTGCCCCAAGGGTCATTTCGCACTTCAACAGCACGGAGCGCCCTCCAACAACGCCGCTGCCGTCCAAACCAAACTGACAGAGGAGCTCGGCAGACCCGATCACCGTGGAGAAATGAGATTAGGCCACCTTATTATCCCAGCCTTAACCCACTCGACTAAGGCATGCTACGCGTTTTGCAGAATAAGCTCTAGGCCACTTCTCATCCCAGCCTGGAGTCGCTGAAGACTCGCATCATGACAGCATGGGAGGACAGGAAATGTCCTGCTTCGTCAAAACCCGCAGGCGTTTCCGCCCTTGCGTCGAGGCCGTCGTCGGCACAGACGGTGTTTACAATGAATGGGTACTTAGCAGAAGCATGTGGCTAGTTGTTCCTGGTCATTGTTTTGTTCTATTGTTGAGTATCTATGGACCAAATGCATTTATTTTAAAAAAAATGTTTAAAGCACCAGGACTTTCCGGACACCCTGTAGACCTATCATGGCGCGTCATATCACGCGGAATTTTGGCAGCCACCATTGCCCTTTGTATCAGACCCGGAGTCGGAGTCGGTCAGGAGCCCGGAGTCGGAGTCGGAGTCGGAAGAGCACTACCACGACGCCAAAACCCTGATATTAATATAGCATATTTGAAAGGTAAGGCCTAAGAATACTGACAAAACCATTTTAGACAAGATAAACATGCATTCAACATGAACTTTCCTATCATGATATGGGACTTAGATATCCGGAGTCAGAGTCAATTTTGGAAGCCAGATTCGTGGTCAACAAATAACCCATCGACTCCAAAGCTATGAACACACCCTTATCACCTTAATTTTCAACCCAGATGGGGCAAGATGGAGGGCGTTTTTGACCACACTTACCAGTTTTTAAGCGTGTGTAAAGAGAACCGCTGCGCGCCGCAAAACTTTGCATACTAGCTTATCATACATCACTTTTGTATCATGCAAGATTTCTGACCCCAGGTTACTTGAGGGCAGGTCACCAGGTCAAGTAAGGTGACCATGACTAAGAAAACTTTCTGTAATTCTGTGATTCTGTAATTCCTACAACACATCTAAAATTTTAAAACTTGGGGTGTTGCATGAGGGAATCAGTACCAGCAATTTGTGATGATCATGATTATTTGGAGTGACAGGGCACACCAGCAATGAGGTTATATCGCTACCAGCAGTCTGTATAGCTCGGAATTTTGATATCAGTGACCTAAGGGTGACAGGTCAATTTCTTGACCTCTTGGCTCTTTATTCTAAGTCAATGGGAGAAAAATGAAATGCTCTTCTTTTGGATGAAAGTCAGACTGAACAGTGAACACTCTCACTTCAAGAAACAGGTAAACATTACACAATGAATCAGCAATTTACACCTATGACCCCTCTTTATGCCCCTGAGGTCATCTCAGGTCATAAAAGGTCTCTGCCCCTTAGGTCAACTTAGGTCATGAAAGGTCTCCATAAGTTATTTTTAATAACTTCACTTAGACAATAGACATGCTACAGCAATGAAAGAAATGCCTGACCAATGAGAGACTGATAAGTGATAACTGAGAAGCAATAGTGGCAACAAGTAGCATTTGACAGAACTGAAAGTAAAACAACCACCAAACTGTGCAAAGTAAAACCTTCCAAAGCACAAGAGAATTAGGCTGAGTAGACTCAACAAGTTTTTATCTAACCTTTCTGCTGCCCTAAAAAGCAGCCATGGCAATGTACATCAAGCTGTTAAACTCTACTTAAGAACAAACCATCACCCATTACCCTGGAGGAAAGGAGAAGGAGAGGTGACCTCATTGAAGCTTACAAGATCATCAAAGGATTTGACAAGATCAGTGTTGATGGTAATTTCCTGGCACAAGACAGAACAAGGAGATAAGGGGACACAGTCTGAAGCTTGCTAAACCACAACACAGAACTTGGAAACGATGCCAATTTTTCTCAACCAGAGTAGTGAGCCTGTGGAATTGACTGCCAGAAAGAGCTGTAAATAGTCAAAGGGTCAACACATTCAAACACAACTATGACCAGTACCTAACATGACCAGGAGGCAGCCTTTATGAGCCTGAGCTCACATGTCTCTTTATTTCCATCTACTGGTAAGCACCCAAACATTGGTCAACAATTCTTCATCTACTCATAACTTAATCACCAAAACTTCACCGAAACTGTTCATATTATCATCACTCAATTGCAAAACCTCTGTGGACCTCCACCCATCCTACCACACTAGGCTAGTTGACACCAGGAATCCACCCAAGAACTAGTCACTCCTAGAACCCTAATTCCATTGTCCTACCTTGATTTGACATACCCATGCATATCAACTGCCAAAGAAGATCCAAAGCAAGGGAGGAAGAAGGTAAAATGTTTCCTGACAAGGGTTGACGAAAATGTGATACAAGGACCTATTAAGCAAAAACCTATTAAGTAAAAAACAAAATCATAATCATACCTGAATGCGCCAAGCTGATGATCAAATCACAGAAGCACAACCAATTAAAATTATAAGACATGGTTAAAAAACTGAAAAATCAAAGTCAACAACCCATTAAAGGGTCAAACCTCACCTGGGCACAGCGTCCCACGCCACCGCTGAACCTGGTGAAGGGCACACACTCCTTGTGGGCGATGACATTCTTCAAGTAGCGGGTGGCACGCCGCAGAGGCATCTTCTTTAGCACCTTAGCAGTCTCATAGGTGTTCTGAAATCAGCTTTGTGTCAAAATCCTTTCAATTCATGATGTTATGACTTGTGAGATGTGACAAATATTTGTTCAAATCATTTATTGATCTACTTTATTTAGGACTCGCATCATGAAAAATGGATCCAATTCAAAATTCTTAAAAAAAAACATGACAAAACATACCCAACTGCCAGCACTGATAAACCACACATATTTTGTCAGCTGAAATCAAAATATTTTTCAAAAGTTAAAAATCATTTACTTAACTACCTATCAGGCAACACCCTGGAGAAATTTGAACCATTGATGAATGATTAATGCAAAACCAAGTGTCAGTAACTTATTTCTATTGCAGTTGTATGCTTTTAAAAGCAGCAAAGTTGGCATTTATTGAAGATCTCCATTCATACCTTGAAATGGGCTCGCAGGTTATCAAAGCGAGCCTTGCAGCTCTTTGCCTGGTTGGTAGGCTCCCTTGCGTACCGCCCCATTGTTGGAACTGAAACAAAAAGAATATCCATTTCCATCACATTACCAGAAATATGGCAGTTTTCAGTGAACCTACTAATTCAATTAGTAAAAATATCAAATTAATTGGTTTATGTAGACGGCAATTTTGGCGCGGATGAGACAAATGTTAAATTAAGTAAACTCAAAATCAGCAGAAAATGGCATATGAATAGCTGATTTAAAATTAAACACTATGGCATATGACAAGCAACAGTCATCACAAGAGATCACAGACTGCAATTCAGTCATGCATCCGGAAAATATGACACATATTTCTTCATTCTACTTCACCTACCAGTTGTTTATCCGGAAAGACCGGCGCTGCCGGAAATTAAAAAGAAATTGTCCATTGATCAAAATTTAAATATCACCTTGTGGAATTAATTCGGTAATGCTTCTGTGAGAAAGCAAACAATTTTCATTTTTATTTGCTGAATTTAAAGAATCGACTCAGTATATAAATCAAATCTAAGAATTTTAATTTATATTCATAGTTTGTACACAGTGTATATAAATAGTTTGTATATCTATTGTGTTATTTTCACTGTTATTTCATAGCCTCGAGTGTGGTTTGCAAAATACTGAATAAAACATATATTTTTCATTATATTTGGACGGAATAAGTTTCCTTTTAACGTTTATATTTTCGGAAATTTTATTGGAAGTAATTTTTATTTTACTTTAAGTTTGCTCATATCTGACGTACCAGAGACATAGCATCAAAACAAAATGTTCAAAAGCAGAAAAGATGTTCAGATAGATTTGAGTTCTCTAATCAACTTGCAAGTTTAAAAGCATTGGCATTAGTTTGTCTCATGCTGAACACACTTAGACAACCCACGTGCGCCCAATATTATTTGCGCATTTTGATTTAGAAAATTCAATGATATGATGATATGATATTGGAAAGTGTGAATTTTGCACTCATCTCATGATCTGCTATTTCATTGTCAAATTGAAATTTGAATTGTGGAACAGTTTTTGCAGGGTATATAAGATTTTCTAAGGTTTGTTTGAATATATCCTTATTGCGAGTTTTTAACATTTCTATTTAACAACAGGATTTGTTAATCATAACAAAAATAAAATCCTCAATGATCATCTCAAATTCAACTCAGAAATTCAAATCCAGTCCTCCTTTCTTCCAAAGGAGGACTCGGTGAGGTGAGTCACCTGTTGGGTTTCCTTGACTCACCAGTGCATGAGGATTGAGGAGAGGCAGGAAACCGTGTAGGAAAGAGACGCGCCAATTCCCCTGGTTACGCTGGGCGCTGAGAGATGGACCCCACTCATCCTGTTATTTTTGGCAAAGGCTGTGTCATGAAGAGTTTCTCATTGCATCAGATTGTGACAGATTGTTAATAACTTCTCCAGCTGGTAATATTAAATTTATTCCAAATTTCAGAATTTCAATAGTGACATCTCACTTCGTCTTTAATTGCCTTAATTGCAGAAACATTTGTCATTACATCTCGGACCCACAATTTAATTCCAGTTTGACAGCTATATTTATTGCTGATTCCACAACAGGTTCAATACAGATTGGGGAAAAGTCCTACACCACACTGGAATGCCAGCCCTGTCCACTCACCTGGTTTATTGACATATCAAGCACTCACCTGCTACTGGTTTATTGACATATTTTTGTGTGCTTTCAAACGTAATTTTTCATATGAGTAGAGGTATATAGTTGTCACCAGGTGACCAGTAAGATGCCTTTTGGGGGGATAAATGAGGCCGAAGGAAGCACAACTGTGAGCCCTAAACGTGTGATAGTGCAATACAGTGGCTTTTGGGGTCCAACTGGCTTTTGGGGCCTCCCATCTATCTGATCCATTACATTGAGCTGATCAAATATTGATCGCAACCGTCCCATCCATTTTTGAGATGTTGGCATGTAGAAGCAGCACTGAACTAGCGCACGTGCAGTGTGAAACCCCAACCGAATCGTGAGTTGTGCAAGTTTTTTTTTTGTTCCACGTCAGTATTTGCCCGAAGGTGCTGCTCCACCGCTGCCCTGCTCCTCCGCGTTGTCTGCAGCTATGTCATAGTTACCGTGGACGGCTGCTGTCCGGGGCCCGGGCACCGAGTCTCGACTACCAACGCCTCCTTTGCGCCGCGCCGCGGGGAGCCTCACGCGTCTGTGGCAGATTGATCTCGGCCACCGGCTTTGTCCGATCGGTGCCCGGCGTCCAGAGTTCATTCGGAGCGTATCAAAATCTGTCTCGCGAAATGGATGGGCCGCCACACAGTTTTATGTCTCTGGTGTTGTTGACCGAAGCTGACAGAAAGCACTGCTGAGGGAAACTCGCCGACTGGGAGAGGTCTTCATTTATCAGACGGTTTTACTGTGGGGTCATTTTGTTCAACTTGATGATATATCTTCTAAGCAAAGGCTGGGGACACGATCCGCGTGTTTTTTTTATTGTGTTTTGCATCTGCACTTGCGTCCTCATCACCAAGTTTGCCTCGTCCAGTAACCAAATCGATAAAGTAACATGTTTGTGGGTTTGAAGCAAATCGCGATTGTTGCATTTCTTATATGCTTATTGTCAGCCGGACTTCCTGAATACCTAAACACGACAACGATACGGTATATATCACACTATTGAACTCTTTAGGTCAAACAGTCCAACTAGAAATAGCAAGATTCTGACCCCCGCCCGTCCTTCTGTTCTCTACAGTTGTGCATTGACCGACCGTACGTCCTTCCGTGGAGGCCGTGAGGGGTCAGCATGTCTGCCAGCTTCTGTGACGATTGTGGCGCGATCCTGCCGCTGCCCTGTGGCTCATCACTGGTCTCGTGCAATGTCTGCAAACTGCAGGTCGACATGGCAGGTTAGTTGGTGCACGGTGCGGGGAGGCCGCTGTCCGCGGTGGGGTCGGGAGAGCGAACGATACCAGATGAGATAAGCGTTTAACTTCAGACCTTAGTGCAGCTGATTCTCGGGGAGATGGGATGTTGACAGAGGGTAAGCATGGCGTTTTATCATCATCTTGTTAAAGGGACTATCCCACCTTTAACATGGGGTTTGAGTTGAGATAGCCAAGTTTGCGGCGAGGTTCAGAAACCACTATCTATCTAGGTTGCAACCCCCGCGGCCTCTTGGTGTTGAAGAAATTCGTTCCCTTCATTTGAAAATGGGCCTTGTACAAGGCCCTATCTTCAACATGGAGCGACCGTTAGTGTGACGTCACCTCGTTTAGTCATTCTGATTTAAATGGGTTTGTTCGTTGAAAAATCGCTTAAAACTTGGTCTGAACTTTGTTGTGGTGCCTACAGAGTAAAAAGAATCAGCTTTATGACAGTAATGTGGCCTGGGGAAGGAGGTAATTTTGGGATGTGACGTCACATATTTGAAAGTTTGTGTTTGGAATATGGGAAGCCTAAGATGTTTAATGAAAAATAAATGCCAGAACCGTGTTCCTGGTCATCCAATCTATAAAGTCGGGCACAATTTAACTAGTTTTAACAACATTTTAGAAAGTGGGATAGTCCCTTTAAATATTTTGCATTGAACAATAAACATTTAGTATATTGAGGGTGGGCACAAACCGAGCCATTTGCTAGGCAGGTGGAAATGTATCGCTGCAATTAAGCTAACACTTAACGATGATTTATTCGAGATGCATCACTCCCATTTCGCCTTCATGGACTGTTGGTTGGGCCATATATCAGCCATCTCTATCAATTTTGAATCAGTTATATGCTTAGAGCTAAATAACTGTTTCTTGGGACGCTGAAACTTTGAGTTTGCTCGCCTGACTCGCTTCGTTTTACATAACATTCCTCGAAGTCATATTTTCATCGAGCACAGATAACAGTAGTACTACTGCTTTAACCCTCGCCCGCACATGCCATTTTCCCATCCTAGAACGCACATGGGGGGGGGGGGGGTTTGCCACCCCCCCCCCGCGCCATTTCGTTCCTGTTGGAGATAGAGCTTAGCGGTAAAGACCAAAAAGATTCTTTGGGAAGAGACGAATCCAATGATACCCAGTTTTACCTTCTCAGGTCAGTCATTGACCTTCCAGGTCAGGTCAAACTAAAAATGTTGCTGTTTTAGGTCACCGTTGGATATCAAGCGCGCTGCTTGTCATATACCGATGACGATGCCGTTTTCTGGTGCCAAGCCAGCTAGAACCTCTTTGTCACACTACCCGACCAGGTTTTTGCTGCTGAGGTCATCTCAGGTCAAGTTAGGTCAAGGTCAATAATATGTGTTTGTATGTCTGTGTGTGTCTGTGTGTATACTGATGTGTGCACCGATTGTTTATGTGTCCATATTACATGAAATCATGATCTGAGAAGCTTTTACCAAAAATGTAGTCAAAAAAAATTCAAAAAAAGTAAATTCAGCTTGCCTAAAACGCAATTATCTTAGATGACCTAGGTTGACCTTGACCCTGACCTTAACCTCTGTACATCGTCGAACAACATGTTTCATGATAGGTGGGAGGTAGGATTGGTATAAAAGGCCGAAATCAAGGTGTTAAAAGCTCACAAGGCCCATAGCCAACGCAAGATGTTGAGAATTGGCCATTTGGGTCATGACATGACCTGAAATACAAGGTCATATCTCCGAAACCAAAAACCACAGAAACTTGAAATTTTCAGTGGACATCAAGAAAGGATAGAGGAGCAGCTATACGAAAAATCAGCCTTCTAGCTCTAAAAATGTTGAGTGCAGAGCAGAAAGACTACCTGAGGGGGGGGGTGGCAACCACCCCCCCCCCCCCCCATGTGCGGGCGAGGGTTAAACTGCCGCTGCATCTAGAAAGTTAAGTGAACGTTCGCTCTTCTACGCTCTGAAATAAACAGTAACTCCATTTGGTTGGTGGCATTTGATGTGAAGGCTATACAATCATACAGGTCGCTGGCCGATGAAGGCTATGCCAGCTCACGGACTGCTAAGTCGTTGTTCGAGCGCGGAGCGACAGGGATGATTTGATAGTGTGGCTCCGACAGTTGGGATGTAATGACTGCCTTTTGGAGTCATTCATGCAAATTTTGCGTTTGGATGTGTTTCGCAGATATTCGGTATTTATCTTTTGATGTGTTCGCAACATCGTATTTGTTATGCATGGAAACTTTTGATATCATACCAGGATGTCATACGACGTGAAAATAAGTCGTTTTCAGCGTGTTTATATGCGATGAAGTTTACCTTTTGCACACAGGAAATGTTTGGTGGTGGTCACAGCGTGAGCATTTTTGACATGGCTGGCGAGAATCTTTGTTTTTTTTTAGTCTGGTCATAATTTCTAGCGGAGTCAACAGTCTTTTGCTCCTAGGTCTGTTTGTCGTCTTTTTATACTAAGCCTTTTTTAGGCCAAGTCAAGACTTTAAAAGATAAGGAGTATACGGTTCTTCCTCTACGATAAGTACATACATCACGTCTAGGAGGATGCCCGCTGTCTGGTTTTGAGCGAAGCGGATGCCATTTTTCATTGTTACCCCCTTCTAACGTCGATGAAGCAAAGGAAGCATATGACTCAGTGTAACCGATGAAGCGGGTCTAATGGGTCCCGGCGGGCTAACTTCGCATATCCCCACGTAGATATATTACAGCGGCGATTAATATCACTCATCGCTCTTTGTCGGGCGGTGCGAGAGGAGCAAAGTTTGCCGCGGGCGCACCCCGACTCTGCCCCTGTGGCTGACCTCTGGTGACCTTGACCTCGCCGACTGAGCTGTTGCCACGCGGCGGGGAGGCTGCGCCGCCCCCGGGGACTCGTGGCGAGATTTTACCAACGAGCGCAATATGCATAACACGCTCACATTCAGCCGGCGAGAGATTACGGATCGTGCTGCAGTTATGTAAAGTCAAGATGTGACACTACTAACATGTTAGTGCATACATGATGTGATTGACTTTGCTCAAACCCAACTTGCGCATATTATACAACGCTCGACTAAATTCCATGGTTAGCTAGTTAAAAAATTCAAGACGTGCTACCCAGCCCGTTATTTGCGGTCATTTGTTTACTTGTGGGAACTGGGAACTCTCTTGAAGCCACTCCGATGGAAGATCGAACAGATAATGCTAATTCTGGCTGCCGATTTCTCGGATGTAATCAGGAGCTTTTCACGACGGAATAGCATAATGGATTAGATGTCCTCCCTAAGTTACGGCCGAAGTTGGCTGCTGCGCTCGGGCGGTTCAAGACTGCCATGGCGGTGTGTAAGATGACTGAGGAGAGTGTTCTGGCCTATAGCGCGATAATGCAACCTCGCCAGAAGTCGTGATAGGGCACACTCGTCACCGCGTGCGGTCTTCCAGAGGAATAATCACGGGCCAGAATACCCGGAAGGACGCATTTGCCGGGCGCGCTTCGGAACTTTTCACTAGCTCGTGCACTTGATTACAACGATTGAGAAGGCACAAGACTCAGCGTCGTTTCGTAGAATCGCTAGCCGAAAGTACGATACGTGAGCTGATCAATCCGCTGTTCAAAACTGAAACAAGACCAATTTGCCAGCGTTTTCAGCATTGAACTAACCGCTGAAGTGTTTTTAATTTATATTGAAGGACTATCGAGGAACTTGAAATTTTCTTATGGTATTATCGTGAACGGTAGTCGACTCGTCAGCTGACTAACGGTAACGGTTGGTGATGTACAGTGGATCTAGTAAGGATCTCCAGACGTAACTAGATGGCGTTGAGCCTTAGTCGAGTCCATGTCAAATTCAAGGAGAGGTCACTACCGAGCTGGCCCGTTAGGGAGGTGGGCTAGGGGGGGGGGGTGGCGAGGTCACGGTGCGGGTGACCTGTCAAACAGTCCCGGCGCGGTTGGGCACTGCCGCAGGCAAATGACGCACTACAGCCGGCCTGTTCCATATCGCGGTGGTGGGCCCGGCGCGGCGGCCGGTAGCGTGGCCGCTTGGAAGGGAACTGGGAAGGATGATGAGGCGTGGGTTTACTAAGGCCGGTTTATCTATTGTCAACTACAACTAACTATGATGCACTCAAATAAATGCATATATGATGTTGGCAATGCAGCTGGCAATGGAATGCTAGCGAATGCTGCGAGCGTCCAGTAAATCTAAGGATTAAGGTTATTCGTATCTCCTGAAATTTTCAATTGATATAATTAAAGCACTAGAAAGATCGTATCGTTGGCCGGTTTTTGACTGGCTGGCGTTTCTTGTGTAGAGCGCTCTTGGGTAAATAATTATAACGGCAGGCCCTTTTTTATGACGGGCCAAATTTAGTCGTTAAATTTAGTTCAAATTTAGTCGTTAAAAAGAAGATGGGGAAGCGTGGGCGAATATCCTATTTTTCTGCATTAAGTCTTGAATTAATAAGTTAAAAACAATAAGATCATTTAATAAAAATATTTGACCCGAAATTATGCTTTTTCTGACCATGATTGCGTGTAGGACCCCGGTGCAACCTGGTTTAACCCGGTCCAATCTGGTTCGGCTCCCTCATTTACCTTCGGGCTTAGCCTCGTAACATTGACAGACGTCAGACATCCAACCAACAACTTTGGCCGAAACACTGTCCAGCAAGCTGCGCAGGGCGATAGATGCCCGTAGCGTAGAGGGTGGGTGACCTGTGAGCGGAAATCGATGTAGTGAGTTCGAGTCTCACTCCCGGCTCTGGCTTTATCTAGACACGAACCAAAACGTTTCCTTCTACTGCAACACTGACAAGCACGGTGATTTAGCTTTTCCCAGTATCCTCTCAACAACGTTAAAATTGTCGCACCTAAAGGTTTTGCTAAGTTAATCTTTAACCCGCGACCGCCTGGGGGGGGGTCGGATCCGACCCCCCCCCCCCCCCTCCGTTTTTCTTGAATAACTCATGAACCGCTTGCGCTATCAACTTGAA